GGCATTACTATTAGAACAACAAACAGCTGATTCAGAGAACTACAAACAGCTGTTTCATAGAACTACAAACTGCTGTTTCAGAGAACTACAAACGCTGATTCAGAGAACTACAAACAACTGTTACAGAGAACTACAAACAACTGATTCAGAGAACTACAAACAGCTGATTCAGAGAACTACAAACAGCTGATTCAGAGAACTACAAACAACTGTTACAGAGAACTACAAACAACTGATTCAGAGAACTACAAACAGCTGATTCAGAGAACTACAAACAGCTGATTCAGAGAACTACAAACAACTAATTCAGAGAAGTACAAACAACTGTTACAGAGAACTACAACAACTGATTCAGAGAACTACAAACAGCTGATTCAGAGAACTACAAACAGCTGATTCAGAGAACTAGAAACAGCTGATTTAGAGAACTACAAACTGCTTTTTCATGAAACTACAAACAGCTGATTCAGAGAACTACAAACAGCTGTTACAGAGAACAACAAACTGCTGTTACAGAGAACTACAAACAGCTGTTTCAGAGAACTACAAACTGCTGTTACAGAGAACTACAAACAGCTGATTCAGAGAACTACAAACAACTGTTACATAGAACTACAAACAGCTGATTCAGAGAACTACAAACAACTGATTCAGAGAACTACAAACAACTGATTCAGAGAACTACAAACAGCTGTTACATAGAACTACAAACTGCTGTTTCAGAGAACTACAAACAGCTGATTCAGAGAACTACAAACTGCTGATTCAGAGAACTACAAACTGCTGTTACAGAGAACTACACACAACTGATTCAGAGAACTACAAACAGCTGATTCAGAGAACTACAATCAGCTGATTCAGAGAACTACAAACAGCTGATTCAGAGAACTACAAACAGCTGATTCAGAGAACTACAATCAGCTGATTCAGAGAACTACAAACAGCTGATTCATCTATCCATCTTCTCCCGCTTCTCGTGGTCGGGTCTCGGGGGTAGCAGTTCCAGCAGAGAGCCCCAAATGTTATTTTCCCTGGCCACATCAACCAGCTCTGACTGGGGGATCCCAAGGTGCTCCCAGGCCAGGAAGAGATAATAATCCCTCCACCAGAGAACTACAAACAGCTGATTCAGAGAACTACAAACTGCACCTCCCCTGGTCCTAGGTCTACCCCTTGGTCTCTTATGCATACAGGGAATTTCAAAATAAGGGCACAACGAAAAAGTGATTACTATGATATAGATACCCCCCTTTATGCTGTTAGTTTGGTGGTATAAACATTTGTGACGAAATGTAGGCTACCTGTTGGCAAGAGTCAATCTAAAAAAGCCACCTACAGTCTGGACGTGTCATACATTCATTGCGAGGATTGACCCTGGACTTTAGTGGCCTGATAATCAGTCATTGAGTTTGACATTGCTGAATAAATCTAAGAAGTGGTGGTGATTGAGAGGTCTGGACTTTATGGTTAGGACCTCAGTCTATATCCCTTTTTTTGACATCCAATTTAATTTAAAGATATGTTGCTAGAGGCCAGCAGCCGTTGCAGTACAGTAGTTGCAGCAACTGATAAGGAATTTGCCCATTATGGTTTGGTTTGGCTTCAGGGCAAAAATGAGCTGCTGGCCTGTTAAACCTCCTATTCCGCCTCTTCACTTTGCAGGGTGTGCAGTGTTTTTTTTTTTTGCTGTAATACTATGGCCCAAGTTTGCAGTGTGGTGATTTTATTTAAAACAAATCCTCGATCACTTTATAAGTACATCACAGTTCAAGGCCTTGACACTAGAATCTATAATATAAACTCACAGTTGGTGATTGTCTTACTGTCATGTAATTTTAATAGGTAGCCTGCAGTTCCCAACACCACACACACCTGAGACATTTATCTTAGACATTTCAGTGTGTAGGCGTAATCTTATTTTATTTTCCAGTTGATTTGTCCTTCAGGTAAACAATGAATATATGTAAAGATAAATTAGTTCTTGAAAATTAATCAAGTATTTGTGAGTTGCAAAGTATTCTAGCCCACTACTGGATCAGATATAGCAAGAAATAAGCCATTGTCATGTCATAATTTGAATAAGCCTTTGGGAAGCACGTATATAGAAAATAGTTTTGGTAACTTTCTATTCATATAGCCTACATTAAATAAAATAAAATAAAGATAGGCATCCACAATTTCTCTGCAAACAAAGTTGGATAAGTGCCACAACCTATATTGGAAGAATAAATAGCTGTCCATATACGAAGGAAGACAACAATTAAGAAATATTTAAAATAAGGTAGGACTATAACTGAATTCCGGACTATTTTAGATTATTATTGATATCTGATTGATCAGTGTTGATCAGAGTTTTATTTTGAAAGGTTGCACAGGAAGTTTCAATCGTAACGCTCAAACTTAATTGGACACTCCTGTCCTGTTAGATTGAGGCGTCGACACACACCTTGCTAGTTGTTATATTACAGTATTTTGAAACTCTCACAACATTGCAACTATGTCAAACAAAACGGAGATGAATCTAACTGGAGTCAAACAAAGTCAAACCGTGTGGCTTGTGAAGGTTCGTTCACTTACTACACCCAACAACCAACGGAAAGTAACGAATTAACGTAACCTAAGCTAATTTACCGTTAGCTAATTTAACGCTAGCTTAGTTATCAATGTTATTAAATAAAATGGCGCCGTTTAACAATGTCATCATATCGAAATCAACAAATTGAAGACAGTTCACCTTCAAACTTCTTGTTGAGTTACATATTAGGTTATTAGTGTATGTTTACATTTATTTTAAGTTGCCATGTCTTTCTCACCAGGTTCCCAAGTATTTATCTCACCAATGGGACAAGGCCTCCGAAAAGGGAGAAGTTGGAAAGATAACTATTGGAAAGTAGGTTTTCAAACTTTTTGTACACGTTTCTTGCTCGCTGTAATCCTGTTCTCATGATTATCTGTAACAGTGATGTCCCCTTTATTTTTATATGTCTTGTCATCGACCTGACAGGAAGCAAGGGAAAACAGAGGTGAGGCAGCTTCTTCATAATACTGCACAGGAGTGATTTGTCATGCTTGTTTCTGTCCATTCATACATACTGCATATGTTTTTATATATATTTTTAGCGACGGAGTTACTCATAGTTTAGTGGCCTGTTTTCCCTTTTTTTATTTGTTGTATCCAATCTGCATTGACCCAACTTCCTCACAGCGATCAATATAGTTTCATCATATGAAATTCCTCTGATGAATCAAAATTGGTTGTTAATATAACTAGCCAGCATGGCCTTGAGTCATCTTTGTTTCCCAGGTGAGTTTCCGTCTGAATGTGGAGCTGACCACCATGGGCGCTGTGGGGGAGAAGGATGGTTCAGTGCTGGTCCCGAGGGATCATCCCTTCACCATGCAAACTGTGGGCGGACAGACCATGGCAGTCTACAGCCAGAGCGATTCAGGTCAGTCTCAGCTGTTCCTGCTCTCCTCGATATGTGTTTCTTGTCATCTGAAACCGTTTTTTGATGGGGGGCTTAAGGGTTCAAACTGTAATTGATTTGATATGTGATTCCTTCGGAGGTTCACAGAGCAGTTTTTTCAGTCAGATTTACTCAAGTCAATATCCTAAACATATAAGATCTAACATCTACTGACTCAACTAAGAGTTCTTCAAATTTAGTAGGCGGCCTCCCAAGGGTGGCTTCAAAGTGTTTCAGTGGAGGCACAGTAAATGGAAGTTGAAGTATACAGTATAACATCAGTTATCAAAAGAATATCATAGAATAGCGTAACTGAGCGTGATTTGGTTATAGTGAACAGAGATACAGTACTTTTGGGCAATGTTAAGGTTTTTCCCACTTTCCTAAAGTCAGAAATGAAAAAAATGTTGCAAGGCCAAAGTCTCCACTGGTATAATGTTCAAGTAACCTGCAAATGATATGCAAAGTGTTCAACATTTCAGAAATTGTAATTCTTTACATAAACAACTGAAATTGGCAATTGTTGAGATTGTTGGCTTGTAATAAGATGTTGCCGTTTCCTGGAAGAATTGACAAAATATGAAGTGTAGAGTTTGAATGTATTTTAGAAAAGAGTAGTCACAGGTTATGTTATGTGATTGAGATGTTGTTAAAACTGAACTGCACTTAGTTCTTCTAGTTACTATGGTTTTCTTGCTTTGAAAGATAGATTCAACATTGATTGCATTGCACTGTACAATTCATGTTAATACTCTGAGTGCTTTCTGATTTATGGACGTTGTTTGCTGCCAGGCGAGATGTGTCATACATATACATGAGCCAAAGGGATTTGCATCGGAACCAGACCTTCAAATAGCTGCAAATATATTGTGGAGTGTCTATAATCTTAAGCCTTAAGATATGATAAATACATGTAGATTAGGCTGTTTCTTTTTAATGTGTAACTATTTATATATTTAATCATTATCATGTGTCAGGTCAATACAAGTAAATGATAATAAAGTAGCTTTAATTGTTCTTGCAAGGCAATGAAGAGTAATTACAGAAATGTTAAAATATTTCTTTATTGCCTTTTTAATAAGAAATCATTCCCACAATTCAGTAAAAAGTTTAGTTCAGTGAGATGGAAAATAAATAGCAGGGTGCAGGCTGTTTAAATCAGTTAAATGTCAAAGGCAACTCTATGCCTCCCAGGGGGCCAGTATTCAGTAACATCAAAATAACTGCTTCTCATAATATTTTCAAGCACTGCTAAGGGTGCTTATACTTGTGTGTTTTTGGCAATAAACCAAAAAGCATTTCTGAGCATACAACAACAATCATGGCCCAAGTAGTTTGAGGCACAAATATTGACGGGATGGCAACTTACCAAAACTCTATTCAAAATGTAAAACCAGCTGAAAGTGTATCAGGAGCTGCAAACACAGGGTGTTTCTCAATGTCGAGGAAGGCTGCTCCAGAGCCACTATTTCAAGCATACTACGTCATCGAGTGCCGCCGAAGGACTGTTCCAATGTCCAGCATACTTGGAATTCTACCGAGGCCGGCGTACTTCATAGCGAGAAATTTTGAGGCTACATATGTGTAGACTCTGCGGTCTTAAAATCCCCACAATGCTTTGCGCACTGACCAATTTCCAAATCTTTGGCGGAAATCGCGCTCCATTTAAGGCGGGGCCTCTCATATGATGCACACCTGTTAGCCTGTTCCACAATTCTTCATTTTCCGAGGCTAGGAAAGATTCTTGCCTCGCTTCTGAAGCAAGTGACTCGGAAGACATGTGCTACCAAGCAAGCGTCCTCGACATTGAGAAACAGCCATTACCTGAGTTGTTAGAAAATTTATGACTGGGCTCTATAGGAGGTGTGCTCAGAAAGGAATGATGACTCAGATTTCACAGTAGTTCATAAATACACAAATAGAGGAACAGCATAACCAGCATTCAGCAGACATTGTTTCTGCAAAAATAAAAACACATTTTAAAATACAAAGCACATGATTTCTGTGCTAAATTCAAGGAATAGACACAATGTTTGTAGCGCTTGAGTTATTTGTCAAAGGTGCATGTTGATGGAAGAGACAGTTTATTTGGTTGAGGATTATTAGATGTCCCCTCCCAAATGTTTTGTTACTGTATTGATTGGCTGAGTGGAAGATGGCACTGGAGCCAACACCATAATAACTATGGATGGCTATAGATTGATATGCCTTTGCCAAGAGCCAAGTGCATCTGTCACTTACTTTGGTGGTCCCGAGCATCAGTCCTCTGTTTATCATAATCACTGTTTTCAGTTTTTGTTCTCGGTGGTGGAATCTGGGTCTTGTCCAGGTTGCCAACTGCCACGTGTCAAATAGTTGTCTGTGTTTTAAATGATCCTACTTCATTCTACATAGAGATGGAAAAATAATCATAACTTGAAATCTCTGTAAAGCTTTTGAGGTGTAAGTTAGAACAAGAAGCAAACGGAAACTTGTCACAGTAAATGATCACATTGATATAAGTGATGAGTAACAGCCAGGAAGAAACAGAAAACATACAAATAATTGTCTCATTACGCAGCTGAGCAGACAGTGAAACAAGGTACAGGAACACCCAGGAGCCTGTGAATGACATTATGTCAGGTAACAGCAGAGCACGTAGCAAGGGAGACATCATAACACACTTGGTAACAGAAGAAATACACTGGAAACATTCTCTTTTCTTGGATGTCAGCAATGACTCATTGTAACTTGAGTCCAGTCATGTTCTGGTGAACAATCTATATTTGACCTGATTTTTTACAGTCTTACAAGTCAATCATTTGGTAATGTGAAAGCTAACAAAAGCAACTATAGACAGTTAGCAAACGTGTATATCTCAGCATCATTATCTAAGGAAGATTAACTTCAAATAATCAGTTTGTTGAATATTTTGATAAGGAGTGTTTGCTTCCTCTCCACACTTGTCCAAGTGCTGGCTTTCATGACTATTGAAATGAAAGTATCTTAATAATCAACTGTCCGCTGCCACCTATATCCGGCTAACGTTAAACTGTGATAAAGACCACCATGTTTATTATTGATGTTGGTTACATGCAGGTTCAAAGTTTGTTGTTGACCATGTGAAGCTATAGGCTCATCTGGTTTTATAGGTTAGAAGTAGGGATGCTCCGATCACCAAATTTTGGGGCCGGAATCAGTATCGGCCAATCGCCGATCCGATCGAGTGGGCGGGGCCTATGGGGATCTTTCATTTAAAGTTTAAAACTCAGTTAATGGGGCTCAGTTAATGGGGCTCATTCACTGGCGCTTCCACAAACAACAACCAACATAATTATTACATTCAAATGAAGTACATTATTATTATTATTAAGTTTACATTAACTTTGGATAATACCACGGGGGAAATGAGAGGAAGCGCTCTCTTTTCCTCTCTCCCCCTCTCTCTCTCTCTCTCCTGAAAGCCTGTCAGTATCGTCTCATGCAGCTCACTGATCCAGTAATGAGTGACCCGACTGAAGAATAAATATATTTAACTAGGTTATTTAACTAGTTTAGCTTGTTCCAGAGGTACATAAAATAGTGTGTTAGGTCTAACTCTTAGTGTGTGTCATTTGCTCCGCTCACCGGTCCGTCACAGCGGGCGGAGCTGTAGGATTTCTGCTTCACACACGTTGCATACCGCTATTTTCTTGTCTTTTTCGGACACCTTTAAAATACTGTCAGACTGGTGAAGCCATTTTGGCGAGCTTGTTTTGCCGCGCACAGAGAAAAGTGTCATATTTTACGTCATTATTTTACGTCATGCGATCGGCATTTTTAGAGAGCACCGGCGGCCGATCGATTGGAGCATCCCTAGTTAGAAGGATGCTTTCATCCACAGTACACTACAAGTGGTCTTTAGCTGAGGACTCAGAGTAATGATACAGGTCACAGGTAGACAAAGGAGTGATATTAGTACAGTGCATGCTTTGTATTCCTGAGTTATAGAGATTCACTGTTGTAAGCAGACAGCATGGTATGTTTCTGATTATATGTATTATTAATTATAACCATAAGAGAATTGAGACTTTACTTTTTCACAATTGCAAAAAAAATGAACATATAAAAATCGAGTATCTTTGCTCTAAACTTACACTTACTTTTGACCCATTATACTTTGTAGGAAGTCTGAATGAACAAAGGAAGAAAGACAAACATTAACATGAACATTTGTTCCTAGCCCACAGAAACTCATTTAGTTCCCAGTACTGTACAACTGCCCACAATGGACACATGCATCCTCTAGCATTTTGAGTCTATTGAGAATATTATGCAATCCTTTTGACATGTTTTGAATTAAACCTTTTGTAACTGCGTATGAGAGAAAATTAAAATAAAGGAAAGCGCACTAGATTTACTAATGAATCTTCAGATGAGTCAAAATAATGGAAATTGGTTAAAAAAAGAAAACTGATTGAATTGGTTGGGATTGCATTCATTTTTCTACTTTCACTGTCAAATCCTGGATTGTTGAATTGTTCCTCAGGACCATACACATATTTGTTTTCACACATTTGTTTTTCACCACATAATTCTGGACTGATCCAACCAGGGTTCGTTGTAGTCTGTCATCCCCTTTGTCTCTCCTCATGTTCCCTGCTTATATATTGTTGGCTTAATGCCAACCCTTATTGATAAATATGGGCAGGTAAAAATAAAAGAGACACCAATCTGTACGAAACAATGCAAACAGAAGCCTCTAAAATTACTATATTGTTATCGAAAACATTATAACTTAATGACATATGGAAGGGCTGTTGTTACTCCATTAGTTAGAGATAGGTGTACTTAAAAAGTTAGCATCTCGGTCGTTTAACCACAATTTGAATTCCTACATATTAGGGCAGATTTCTCAGTCTCATCAGATACATCTCTAATTATTGTCGGAAAACTGTGCCTGAGAAATGTAAGGAAGTAAAGCGCTCTCTTAATCAAGGTGCATCCTACTGCCGAAAGGTTTATTCTAAAACCGCCCTTGTGCACTTCACATTCAC